CGTAGAAAATAAACTGCGAGATTACATTTTCAAAAATCCATAAGTGAACGGGAAGAAAATCGAAAATCAACCGGGAGGTAGCTCAGAGCGTCAACTAATGTCACTGTAGTGCCTCTGACTGGGAGGTCCAAGGTTTGAGGATGGGTGGCAAGGTGGCAGGATTTTCGACGCTAGATAGCTAGGTCGAATTCAGCCGCAGCCTGGAGGAGAATTCTAGCGGCCGGCTGGGACCACGGTCCGCGCGCGATCTTTCCGTCCTCTTTCTTGTCCTACGCGTATATGTACTACACTATCACACATGCGCGGAGACCGGTCGGGAGCTTAGAGTTTGTCCCGGCTGAGGGAGTGCTCCGCTTGTGAGAGATACCTGGTTGGGGAAAACCTCGCTAGCTGACATGGGCCGGATCTCAACATCCTGAGGAGAAAGATCACCACCACCTCCCGAGGAAAAAACAACCACTAGACTTACAGGACTAATGACCTTAGCATATGAAGCGCCCGCAATCACTAACAATCAATTATTATCAAAAATCGATTGAAAATAAGAAACCTTATAAGTGGTGATACATTGCATACTTACTTGTATTATTGATAACGATTATGTAATATTGTACCTTGTATCCTACGAATACGTGAGCCTTCTTTGGAAAACTCTCTTTACCAAACGAATTGCTTATACAGTACATACTTACTGGTGTTATTGGCTACGGTTACTTAATATTTTCCAATATTGTAACTTGCATCGTAGGAACACTTCAGCCTCCTCTTGAAATTTCCTAGCAAACTACCCGGTGAAAACTCCAAAAAATATTATCTTTAATTTTTTTTAATTCGAAAGTTTCATGAAAATAGTGCTTTTGCTATTGACTTCAGTGTATTATACTCTATTCTTACAAACTATTTAAAGAAAAAAATCTTGGGGAGGAAATTTGATTTTCAGCATATCGGTTTCCCTAAAGAGATCCTCACCTACCGATAGGCTCGGCTGTAGCGAAGGTTATGAACATGGTATCAAGGTGTGTCATCACGCGAGCAGTAATATATGGCAACAGCGCATCGAACCATCAGAGTCGCTTCTCCGCTGCCCGTACTGTAGTTGAACCCGGAAGTTTTTCTAACTCGCGAAGATATTGCGGGCTGGGATTTGAACTTAAGCGCATAGTCTCCGCCATCAATGGTCTTATCTGTACCACCATCAACGCTGTTGAATACCAACGCTCCTGAATGAAAATAATTATGAAATTCTGCAATCTACGAAATGTTTGAGATAATTTGTCAAAATATTAGCGAAATATGCTCTTTTCGAGCAGAAAAAAGAAAAAAAGGACGGCCGTTTTTGAGAAAATATATTTATGGTTTTGAAAATTTCAATAAAGTTTTTTCCCTCAAAATCAAGCGCAAACCATGTGTACTGTTTCTCCATCTGTACTAGTCCATGTACCATGTGCACTAGTCTTGATCGCACAAACGAACAGACATTCTGATAAAAAAGAAACATTTTTCGGAAGCAAACGTCCATAAAACTTGGATTTTCAATATGCTATGTACACAAGAAAGTAAAAGTGTAATAATACGTATACCAAACTAAAAATTTACTTTTTGGGTATCAGGAAGTCACGAAAGATATTTTTCTGTAAACAAATCTGCACTGTTTCTTGCACCACTACTAGTCTTTATCCGTACTATGAATAAAGTAAAGTAAAAAGACACCGCAGTTACATATTATTGTGAAACCTATTTCCATGGATTATACTTTTTCATTTACAGAAGATAAACAAATATTAAAAATTGATAATAACGGATATTTGAGTACTTTCTGTTCCTTCTTTTGACGGATCATTTTCAGGACTACAGTAGGTCAATGAAAAATGAAAACTTATGTTTTCAGTTCCATCAGTTAAAATAACGGTTTTATCCTTCCATCGTTGCACCGCAACGAAATATCTCTCTGCATTGTCATGTTCTGTTCGTCGGACGTTAGTCCTCAGAAAGATAAGCGAGATGGACTATTTCCACCGGTAATGTCGCGGGCTTCCGTGAGCGACACACGCGAACGGAATAAATCATGGAGACTCCGTTGCGTCCCATCATCGAGGTCCGTCTCCCACTCCTCTGCCTTCTCCGCTACATTTTCCGCCACCCTCTCCTCCTCACTCTCTACACGCTCTCTCCACCTTTCTTTCCGGCAGCCCTCTCCGCCAGCCCTCTCGACCAGCCCTCTCCGTCGCCCTCTCCGCCGCCCTCTCCTTCACCCCGCACTCTCCGACGGTCTCGTTGACGACCCCTCCGGCACTCTCTCCTACACTGTCTTCGACACCCTCTCTGTCTATCCCTCTCCGATGGCCTCTCCCATGTCCTTTCCGACGATTAGGAGGACGTCCTCTCCAGCGCCGATTTTCACACCCTCTCCGATGTCTTCTCAAATGCCCTCTTCCGAAAACCTCATTATCTCCAACGATCTCCGTCCTGGAAATCACCTATACCTCACATTAGCAGCCATTCCCCTTGTGTAATAATGTCTCAGATATTTGCCCCTGTAACTGCCCCCACCGGTCTCTATAGAGTCCGCCCCTGTGACAATTTACGATGTCGAGCGGGACGCCGGATTTGAAGCGCATTTAAATATTGAAAGGCATCAGTGAAGTTTATTCCTTATGCTCGAAGGCCGCAGTCCGGGAAGCAATTGACCGGAAATAGACGCGAAGCAGCAGCGAGTTGGTGGATTATTTATGGCTCTCCGTCTGCCGCGTGCGCCGCGCAGGTAAATACGGCAATCGGGAGGCCAGGTGAGGCGCCGGGAGACACGAAAGGGAACTGTGAAACGCACCGTTCTGACACTGCATTTTTTACGACTCCGATGCCGTGCTGAGATTGAGTAAGTAGGCGTTCCACAAGAATTCAAAATAGACTTTACGTTTCTCGTAATAGAACAATTAGGTGGATTGTTTCAAGGAATAAATAATTAAAAGTTCTCTTTGTCTTCATACAGGCCGTACTGCATCGGCCGGCAAAATTTTAGTATCTTGTATGTAAAGAATATGGTAAAATAATGTATAAATTAAGCAATACGCGTCGTGAATTATTTGTGATTATCGTCGGGGGCGATAAGTATTAACATTCTGCAATCTTTTGCTCTGAACCTGAATTTGATTACTGATACTAACGGAATTGATTCCGTTAATATCAGTAATCAAGTAATGAAAAACTGAAATGATCTCAAACTTACGCTATGGGAACTTGATCAACACTCAATTTCTATTCATGTCTGTGGTAGATAGTCATGCAAGTAATAACTACTTTTGTCAACATGCAGATCATATTCAGTATCATACTGTACATACTGTACGTATCATACTGTACTTGTATAACAATACAGTTTTACTATATATCTAATAACGTCAATAAAATAACTGTGTCTGTGATAAATAAAGTCCCTTGCCACGCCAAATACTTCAGCTATTAGGATAAATTCTTGTCTTCACTTGTATAAAGGTTAATTTATATTACTCATCCCAAACAAACGAGGATTATTAAGGTCGAAAGTATTCTTCGCTTCCTTTGTAAAGGAAGCAAAGTCAGTTTCACGTTGTAAATTCAAACATTAAAGGCCCAACTGAGGAAATGGCATATACCTGTCATCATACTAGCAATACTTTCACACATACTAGCTTTTCTGTCACACGGTAATACTGTGAAAGCCACGTAACGTAATTGATTGCTGAAGCGGACATAGCATTAAGGCGCGTCTGAGGGTGAAGTAGCGCAGCTATTTTTGGTCTTTATTTCATTTCTATGAACTCAGAAATGAATCACTCATTTCACAAAATGATCGAATAATAATAATAATAATAATAATAATAATATGTTATATTTACTTTTACACCTGAAACTTCCCCTCTCGCCTCTGTGACGGAGGGGGGGGGGGTGCGACTTCTGCGGTGTCATGTTCCGATATGGATATGTCCGACAGTGCCTGTGGCTGGCAGAGAAACAATATCGAGCGGATGCCAACAACGAAGCCTAATAGTAGCGTGTGAGTGTCACACGAACTACGAGCGCACGGTCGCCGCCCCCATCGCCCCTAACACCCCCGCCAGCCCGCCCCCACCCACATCGCCGCTGCGATGCGGCAACGGCGCGGCGCTAAGCGGCGAGGCGCGGCGATGCTCTCGACTTGCAAACGCACTCTGCAGCCGAGGTGCAATGCACCATAACCTCAAACTTCACGAACAAAATGGTGACATCACATTAGATCCTTGTGGGGAGTGTAACACTACAAGCGCTACTCTCTTCCTCTTCCTCTTCTTCTTCTTCTTCTTCTTCTTCTTCTTCTTCTTCTTCTTCCTTCTCCTCTTCTTCTTCTTCTAGGAAATTCTTACCGCTTGTCTTTTTACCAAGGTAGTAGAATTATGGATAAAAGATAGGAAAAACCGTTATTGACATTTGATAATAAGAAATGTTAGATCCCGGATAATCCTTGTAAAGTAATTGGATAACCATTGGTGTACGCCAACCGTCTATCACTCAGGTTTAGACTCTTTCCGGTGACGGGACCTCCCAATTATAGCTGTTTGTTGTGCTACGGTTTAAGGATTTGTGAAGTACTTCGCTTGTGATAGAAATATAAAATGTAGTACATTACTGTCAGTGCTTAAAGATCCTTTGCTGTAGACGCCAACTCTATGAGCCCAAACCACTTAGCCCCAGCCGAATAAAATTTGGAAGGTACCACGGCCTCCCGAAAATTGGACAGAATTAAATAAAACACACAATTGCAAATGAAAACTTTGGAAAAAAGTGCGAGTTTCCTTTAAATCAGGTAGTTTATATAGATAATGCCCGAAAGTTACCATCACAAAAGTACCTCAGATTATACGTTGAATTTTGAAGAGTGACAGAGTAAGTTTTTCCGAAAATATGTCTTCCAGAGAAGTGGGTTAAATCCGGATACGCAATTCATTGCGACTGACGCCTCACCGCCTACTGCGATGACTGTAAAGATGCTGGCCATTGCCTCGTTTCTTCGTCTTACCAGAGAATCTAGTGTCAATAACTTGCCTGTAAGAAAATTTGCCACATTACAAAAGCTTGCCCCCACTCCACAGTATTTTCTGTGTAGTATCCATTCGAACTATTAAATCTGCAGAAAAAGAAGATTTGCTCAAAGTGACAACCAAAGCATGCAGCAGCATTTGACTGGAACTGAAACTTTAAAAACTCATGGAATACTCGAATAACTAATTCGCTCCTCTTCTTTCATATCTGTCTTCCATCTTTAGGAATTAGATGTTTAAAAAAACTCAAGAAATTATAACTATGCTTTCACGATACTCTTTGCGCAAGAAAATATTCTTCATAACATTCACGAGAAACATAACATACACACAAAAGAAATAGAAAAAGAAAGAAAGAAGAGAAAAAGAAAGAAAGAAGAGAAAAAGAAAGAAAGAAGAGAAAAAGAAAGAAAGAAGAGAAATAGAAAGAAAGAAGAGAAAAAGAAAGAAAGAAGAGGAAAGGAAAGAAAGAAGAGAAAAAGAAAGAAAGAACGAGAGAAAGAGAAAGAAAGAAAGAACGAGGGAAAGAGAAAGAAAGAACGAGAGAAAGAGAAAGAAAGAACGAGAGAAAGAAATGAATGAATGAAATCCCTCGCCACTTTGTAACCATTACACCACAATGAAGATTAGAAAGTCTGCTACTTATAATTATCGATTATTGAAGATCTAGTTATTTGTGTGAATACTGGTGTGTAACATTGTTATATTAAAGGCTCTTATATGCAATTTTTTTGTTTATGATTTTGGATGCTGTATATTAGAGAGAACACATTAGAGCAAACAATTTTCTTAAAAGAAGCCGATGAAAGAAAAAGCCTGGATATCCCTGTGTTGAGCGTGGCTCCCTATCTGTGAGAATCGTCAAGCGAGATCGCACGTGGGTGAGGGGAGCACCTGGGGACTGCGTCGGAAAAATTGCCGCAGTAATGCGTGCCTGTCCTTATGATTCATTGTAGACTGCGCCGCGAATCGGGCTGTTTGCCACATTGAAATCTTTGAGGTATGCAGGACGTCTGCCAACTACCTTCGTGTTTCCTTTCTGCCGCAGGAAAATGGTGATCGTGGTCAAAAATCAGTGCTCAGAGTCGCGGGTGCTTATGATGCTTAGCGGGTTAGAGAGCCGAGTGCTGTAAGTTCCAAAATTGATAATTTTCTTGATAGTTAAAAGGAAAACGACAATTGGAAATGGAAAAAGACACAAGACGATTCTGAAGATAGCGACAAGAATCCTGCTTTTGAAACTGGAAACTAAACCTTAAGAGAATAAGACAGGATCTGGAACATTTTCCCTCTCCCCCTCCCAATATTTGCGTCAAGTTGTCGTCTCCACTTTCTGCTGACGCTTCCATTCCGAGATCTTATCTACCACAGAGAAGTAGTGGGCGGAGGTGGGAGAGTGTTTCATTAGAGCCCTCATTCATGTTTCCATGCGTGAATTCGCAACCATTTAGCATTGTCATTGAGGAGTCTGCAAAGGACCGAAGTGTATACTGTACACTGCGACCAGTTCTATATTGTACATTGCCTACATAACGTCTACTAAGCCCTAGGAATAGCCTCGCAGTTCCATCTCTTTAAATTCTTCAGATCCATTAGACCTTCACCAAAGACGCTAATAGGCAAAAATTATTAAACAATCTCCAGGCAATAATATTTCATTTTGTCCCCAACTAAATAATTTGTCATCTTCACAACATCTTTTAGGTCGTCTTCTTTCAATGCATGCAGCGTAGTTATTTTACCGAATTAGTACGTTTAAAAATACTATACAAACCATATTTTTCTATCACTTTCCTTCCAATATATTCGTTTATAATATGTTTAGAATTTTTTCTGGTTACCTACCCCCTAAAGAGTAGACTACTGCTATCGAAATTACCCGTAAAAGACACTGACATTTCTATGTACTCAATAACGCATTTCTGTGAAAATACACCAAAGTAAATGTCTATTTTGATTACCTCTGAAATTTTATTTTATTTATGGTTTCGTGTGAAAACTCTTACGCATTGACCTCCATGTCCATCATGGTGTATTGATTGTTTATTTAACATCAAAAACATTTAAAATATTGAGGGTAACGTACGGATGTGAAGTGCAGACTGTGCAAGTTTACTTGAGGTCCAGAATTCCTAACCTCGCACTTACACTACACGATTTTGAATAAAGGTAGCAACGAGAATTTGAGAGAAATTTTGATCAAAGAAATATTATATTCACTCTCGTGTAAAAAAAAACAACCACAAACTATTACAGGCAGTGACGCAACGTGACAAAATCAAATGGGTAGACAACCGCAGCTAGGGCAGAAATTTTTTCGATGTTTTTAAAAGTAGGCGTAATTTAGAAGGGGTGGTACCCCTATATTATTATTGTTAATAATAATACATTACGAACATTTAACTATTTCAGTTAAAATTAATCGAATTGAACAAATTTTAGAGTCTTGTGAATAGGCCATCTCAAAATTTGTTGGAACGTTTTTCAGGAAAACTTCCTCTTTGTGATAGATGTACTAGTCCAGCGTCCTTATTATCTTCTACAACGTGAATCAATTTATTTTTAAAAATTCATTATGTTGGAAACAAAATATCTCTAATACCTTGTAACTGGCATGTTAAATAAACAAATAAATAAATATTATGAATTTGTCTCTCCGCCCCACCCCCTGCACTATAGAAGAAAAACTGCTGCATACACAGCAACTAGCTAGAACTGTAATGCTCTTCGAGTGCAAATAGACATGTCTAGCCCGTCGGTTGAAGCAACATGCTTTACGCCCATAAGGAGGCCCCACACTTGGGTTTCTCGTTCGGCGGTTGCGATGCACGCAGTTTTTCCTATTCGCACGTAAGGAGACGCCTACTTGGGTTTCTCTCGTTCGGTGGCTGCTATGTTCCTTACGTAAAATTGTACCTGCAAAGACACATCGCGAACTGTCTTATCATGTTGCATTCCCGCGAGGCGCTGCATTGAGACACTTGGGTTTCTCGTGTCGAAGCAGGCAGAGCGCTGACTCATCGTGGGGGGTTCCGCCTCCCTATCTAAAAACCAGGGCTGGAATTCTGATCTGAAAACTCTCTGAAAATGACGTAAAAAATGACTTAAAAATGAAAGGAAAATTACCTAATATTTTAAAAAATACTAAAAATGTGTATAAAAATGCTCATCTATTCAAAGAATTTTACAATATTAAATTAAATTTTCTAGTATAAAATAATATTTAACATCAAGTTTTGTTTTGGAGGAACCTTCGCTCCGATCTTTCAACCGTCAGTTTTGGAAGGGTGAAAAAGTTACCCAAAGTCCGTATAATTTTGATATTTACAAAAACCGAGTCCTCTGCAGCAGTGGATTGCGTCATGAACTGATGGTACAATAAAAACTGCGTTTTAGTGTGTCAGTGTAAATTCATGAAACATTCACTAGCGAAAACACAAAAAGGAAACAAAAGCGTAAAAAGTACAAAAATGACCCGAAGGTCAAAAAATCCTAAATTGTGCAAAATTACAAAAAAATGACCAATAACTATACATCTCTATTATTATGTCGTAATATACATGCATTCACAAGTTAGAATACACCAATGAAATGGTGTTACCAGAATCTGAACCCTGCTCATAACAGACTTAGAATGAAGAAGAATATCTCCACTGAAATACTTACATTAAGAGTACATTCTATGTTATTCTTCTTCTTCTTTTTCTTCTTCTTCTGTAGTCAGTATCTACCTTGCCTCCCTCACAGTACGACAGTGTTTGCCGCAACAAATGAGCTGAATGAAGATAAGAGTTTGGCTGTCGATGGAATCGAGTGCCCCTCATTTACCGCTCTAAATCTGTCATTGAGCTTACTAGGAAATAGATACGGTACAGATGTAAAAAGTGTATTTACAATTTTTGTTGGGTCAGAGCAGATAGTACAGTTGCTTTACCTGACATTTTAGTTCAAGATACAATCATACCTCCTAGCGCAAAATCTGTGGCGTTTTGTTTCACGAGTTCAAGGATAAATGTAAAATATTTTCGCTCGAAAGTTTTATTTGATGCGCGGGCGATGCCAGTTCTTAGTAAAAGATAAAAGAACATGAATATCCAAAATTCTTTTGTTGAGCATTTGTAGAATACCTAAGGAAAATCATTCAAAGCACACCCTTGAAGAAGTGAATGCATGCCAAACATCTTATAATAAAGTTTGCTCTCAACCTCCGAGCAGGACGGACGTGACCTAGCTCCGAGTTGCATGCGCAGTTATCAGTGACTGAGTCGAAGTCTTATCAGAACTAGTGCGATCGATAATTCTTTTGCATAGGCGTAGCCATCGACCGTTTTGCCGCATTGCGGCAGAACTACACTACGAACAATTATATCTGGGTAGAAGTGAACCATCGCATAGACATAAACAAAGTGTATTTAATAATTGTGACATTTAATAACAATCAAAACTCACCTACACCCACATATGCACAAACAGTTACACAAAATACCATCCAATCAAACATTACACAAATTGTAATGCAGATGTTACCGACAATAATTAACCAAATAACAGCAACATTAATTCCACAAATACAAAACATTGTATCAAATCTAATTTCAAACATAATACGGAATGGATAAACAACCCAAATTAAAATCAATAACACTTCTTAACTGGAATGCAAATGACTTACCAAATAAAATAAATACATTTATCCAATTCCCTGTAAAATTACTCAATAACAATTGCATGCATAACAGAAACTCACTTTGCTCCAGGACAAACTTTTAAGATTCAGACAGAATATGTCAACATGCAGCAGGAGGAGTTGCTATACTAATAAAAAAACTGGACAACTCATTAATTTCTAATCCAAAATCGAACAATCTTGAACTCATTGCAGTGAAAATAACTTTAAAAAATGAATAAATAAATATCATAACAGCATATAAAGCACTTAAAGAACAAATCAATATAAATAAATTAAAGCTCATATTACATAATACAGAAACTACCATTTTAATGGAAAATCTAAACAGCAAACATATCAATTGGGACTACAAAGTGAATACTCCACACGGGAGAAAGTTACTAAAAGCGTCATCAACTTTAAACTTTCAAATCATAGCACCAGCAAATCCTTCTCACTACCTCAAAAATTGCCATCATTAAAAATTTAACATATACCCTCTATGCTCATGCTTTACTAGAATTAGACTCTGACCACTGTCCTGTAATTCTCACTTCAGATATGAACGATATTACAACAAAATTGCCCTTTGGCATAGACTGAAAAACATAGATTGGGTAAAATTCCAAACAAATAAATAATAATTCTCTTCCCACAGACCGATTCATGAGAAACAAAGAAGAAATTGATTTTGCCGTTGCTACTTTTACTAAAATTATACGAAAAGCAGCAAAAGAAACAAATACACCCCCTAATCATAAACCAAAATCTGAACAACAAATAATACCTAGTAGCATTGCAAAATTAATTCAAAAGAAACAAAATATGTCGACAATGGCAACAATATAGAAGCCCAGAAAATGCTAAATTTACTAACACGCCAAGTAAAAACACCTTTAGACGAACACCGAATCCAACAATATAAAAATTACATTAAAAAATAAATCCAAAGACAGCAATTTATGGCAGGTTACAAAACAAATAATGAAATAAACTAGTGTACATTCTGAAAACTAAAATTAATATTTATGAAACATTCACTTTTTACACTTTTATGGATCTACGAAATAGAACTCTTGAGTCTCAGCATCTTAAATTTAGAAATTCTCATAATATTTGAAGCTAAACTTCTGAAATCAGCTCGAAATGCACCGTGGTACTTTATAATACCAACAGTAGCAGAAACTATACAATTCAGAAGCCTCAAACATCGGCAAAGACTAGAAAGTCATGCAAACCATCTGACAATTAACATTTTAGATAACATACACAGTGCAAAGATACAAAATATGTTGCAGTCGCTTGGCTGAAGTGTGATTCGATTATAAAAGTAATACTATTCTTTACTAGAAGTATTATTTGATAAAAATACAAAATGTTTGTGAAAAATACATTGCAGTTAACAGTTGAAAATTGGTCACGCCTGAATTCTTGAGGAAAATGGAAATGAACCAGCAAGGAAAACAAATTACATTGAACCAGAGAAGACTAATGCTGGCGAAGTTGTAAAAGAGTTCCCTATCAGGGTGCTCTCTTTGAGTTAACAACCCCTGCCGGAGGATACATTCCTCCCTCTCGTCGCTTTACGACTGTGGAAACCCATTAAAGGTGCTGTCAAACGAGCACTGAACGCAAGAACCTTCGCTATCAGGTTGTGCTCCTGTCTAGACATAAAATGTGCAACCTTGCCTTTCTAGCCGCATTGTGGAGCATTAGATCCTCTCAAGGCTCCTCAACATCCCAGCGTAGAAAAGATTCCGCTGCTCAAGGCAGAACGAATTTATGCGTATCTGATTTTTTTTCAAAACTATCTATTTTATTATTTATTTAAAACGTTTATCTGTTTCCCGTATATAAATTATTGTTTATATTTATTTTATTTATTTATTTAAACCTTTTTTAAATGTTGTGGGAATATTGAAGAAAATTATATTTTACTGTAAATATATTTGATGTTTTTCGCAATGTGTCAATTTGTTTACGTCTCCATTACATCAATATAAAAGACCAATATAGAAGATGTAAACTTTTAATCATTAGTATACAATTAGATCATTTAATGTCTTCGCTTTCGTTTGCACACGTTCGTCGCCTCAAGCGCTAAAAGCCTTTGAAAAAGTACGGCATATACTAGAACTACTTAATGAACTCAACCCTACTCTTGGATGTTTCATAAAATGGAGAATGTGCGACGCAGAGCGTAAATTTATCCATTACTAAGTAAATAAACTAAGCAAATGGAATAGAATATATGAAGAATTAACAAAATATACCACCTAATTTTGTTGTTTTTGTTTGTTTTTTTTAAATTAGCCTCCATGTTAAAATAATGATATCCCATATCATAATATGACAATTCACGTTTCGCAGGGAATTGGAAGTAAAACAGCCGTTAATAATTACGAGAGACACACTGAATATCGTATGAGCGAAGTAGTATTATTCGTTACCATTATTTGCACTTTCTTGAAATCACGAGTGAAAGAGAGAGAGGGGGGGAGAAAAAGAGAGAGGGGGACAGGGGGAGAGACTCTCATATCCATAAAGGCTAATAAATATAAATTTCATTAGAAACGTCACAAACGATTATTTACATCCCAATGCCTACAAACGATTTGACAAACTTTTTTAATTAAATTATAGTATGCGGCCATGCAGGTATTAGTGAAAGAGTTAGTTTCGATCCTTGTCTACATTCAATCAAGATGGCCAAGAATTATGTATTTATACTACTTTCAGCATGATGCGGCGACCTACCTTTCAATTTCTGTTTTTTATACTCATACATCCTCCTTAATGACTTATTATTTGTGTTGTGTAATGCAAGTAAAAATTTGTTATTATCAACAATTCTTTTTTCAGGTAAGTAACCCGGAAAATTGAAACGAAAGTACCCAGAATGACATCCAAGTGAAGATATACGTGAGTACACAAAATATTTTGGAGATTAATACTAATAAGTTATGTTTATAAACAAACGAACTTCTGATATGAAATGTTAATATTTCGAGATGTTATACGAACACAAATTTTGATATTTGTTGCATTAAGATAATAATTGAAAATTATAACAATGAATTATTTTAATCTAGAAGGGTCAGAGTAAAAGTGGACTAATCCGCTTGTATAACAGATGCTTATCTCAGTTCGACTACTACTTAGTTTAGAGTTCCCTAGCTGGACGATTACGAATATGTGCAGTTACACTGCGTAATATTTTCATTACACAATACAAAGTTATGCATCTAACACAGGGTTATATTGCACTGATTCACAGAGCGTTCATGGAAAAAAATCACTGTTATCAAGCGTCAACAAAAGGAACTTTTGCTAAAGAAATTGCTTGCGTGTGTGTATTAGGATTTCCAACAATAAAATTAAAAGTTTCTTTTACTTTCCCTATATCTTGAGTTCATGATGAATTGAATAAGCCATTTTGTAGCCTTTGTTTGGCTATCTAAACATTTTATTCAATTTCCGAAATTATGCTCAAAGATACATTTTATGTGGAGTGAACAATTCACATCAGCATGGTCCTCATAATATTGACAATAAATATTTTATTTACCATTTTGGACTCCGAAGCAAATATTCTTGTAGAATGTGCCCTTTCCTAATTTTTCGATTTCGTCCCAGTCAGTCACCCGAAGTTTACGCGCGGTTTTGAGACCCGATGCCTGATATCTCGGGAGGGCACATTAGTATCTTTTGTGAACAAATAATGTACTCGAATTCTGTCGGCTCACTCACGGCTTGAGGTTCGGACTTTTTAACATCGGGTGCGATCTTAGGGTAGCGGGCGAATAGGCCTGACGTAATTTTCACCCTCAATTAGACAACAAACATATTTTCATTTTTATCCGAAAAGATGACTTCCTTTTTCATCAGAGGCTCTACTCATTCCATTTTCAGCAGCAACATATCGCTGAATACCGAATAATAATGATGGACTACATCTTGCTAATCGCCGAGCGCCAAACCTTCAGTGCTCGCCGTACCCTTCGTGTCTTTCTTTTGGACACATACGCCGTGCACCTCAGCTACTCTTAGATTGGTTGACTAGGCGTCTAATTGCGAGTTGTCTTTACGGAAGGAGAGATATCATCGAAAACCTTCTTCTAGAGACAAAGATCATCACTTTTCCCAGTGAACATGTGGTGGAAAATTTCATTGAACACATTATTTTAGCCAGAGATTGGAAGGCAGCTCTTCATGCGCTGATGCCTGGCAAGTCACATTCTGACACCTCCCCAAACAATTCATAATGGGTTGCCTACCAATTTGGAGGAAATTTTCCATGTGTAACTTGGCTATACGAAATTGCCCAAAGCTATCGTTGGCAACACAATGTAAAATAAGGAGGTCATATAAATCATAAGGAAGCCAACAGGTTTGGATTGTTTTATCCAAATAAAAACCAACAAATGTGGCCTCTGCCCCAATCCCAATATTAATATTATACAAATTCAATAGAAATTTATGTTCATCAAATACTTTACTATACCCACCAAAAATCGCATTGATCACCTTTACCACATCCCATGTTAATGGATCCTATGCTCTTTCATAATTTTAACTTTCAAAATTGAACAACAACAAAATCTCCGGACATTGGTAATTGCCCACAATATAAGGGGATTATTGCTACCGACAACTCTTAATTATCCACAACATTCCCAAAAGAAAATCACTATCACACAATAAATACCCTATTTCAAAATCTTTACGCTTGTATTTACAATTTTTACATCGTCAATCTTTTCTCTTCTGATCATGTTTTGCAGTCCGTTCGTCTCGAAAGTGGAGGTAGAATCAATTGAACCATTGCTCACTAGCCAATCTTGGACTCGATTGTCAACCCCCTTTTCATCTTATCCAGTAAGAACAACAATAACCACTTGGAAACAGTAAGTTTGGAAACTAATGAATAATGAAAAATAATAAGGATACTTTGAACGCTAGTAACAAAACTAAAGCAATGTGGAATATCGTAAACAATACGAACACATCATCGTCACTTAGTAGAGAATGTTGTTTTAAAGGTTAATGAAAGAGAAGCCAATAATCCAGAAAAAGTGGCAAATTTCTTCAACCACCACTTTTCTAGAATTGCGGCAGAACTCACGAAGGTACTAAAACCACAAAATTCAACATCATTACCTTCCCAAAAAATTTTCGACACGATGTTTATTTCCGAAACTTGTTCTAACGAAATCTTACGCATAGTTAGTAAAGTAAAAAATAAATATTAATCTGGTTTAGATGAATTTCCGGATTATTTTATTGTTGTTGTTTATTGAAAACTTGAGGACCGACCTATATACATCCGTTAACTCACATTTTCAATGCTTTCTAATGCACAGGAATATTTCCAGATATTTTCAAAACAGCAAAAATTAAGTCACTTTTTAAAAAAAGGAGCAAATATGAATTTCAAAATTATCGACCAATTTCTTTTTTGTCAGGTTTTTCAAAAATATTTGAGAGGCTTTTTTATACGCGAATGGAAACTTTTCTCGGACAAAATGAAGCGTTTTCAGACTTACACAACACGGTTTAGAAAATCAAAATCTAAGGAAACTGCCATTTTTTCTTTTCTTAAAGATGTTGATTCATCAATGAACCAAAATGAAGCACCCATTTAATATTTTTAGATATTTCGAAAGCTTTTATCGTTATTAATAAAATAGAAATATATTGAATTAGTTTATATTTGTATTGTATATTTTTTTAAAGACTTACTATGTTTGTAACTAAGAATGTACCTTACCTTCCTACAATGACCCCCATCTCGATCAGATTTTTGGCCAGTTTCCTTGATCTGTTGAGCAAATACTGAGATGACCCCTTGGTTTTGCTTCTGGGCGTAAATGTAGCTTCATTATGCGCACGTTTTGTTCGTCTCTTTTTGTTTGTCTCCTTTTGTTTGTAATGGTAGGAGTAGAGGTGAGGGCGCTGCGTGCCATTACAGAGCGCAAGCGTGCTCCGAGCGCGCACGTGCTCCGTTTGACAGCCCTCGTCTAAGCATAATCGCCCCCACGCCGCCGCATTTTCCTCCTTTTCCGCGGCTGAGTGTCGAATATCAGGGTACTTCAAATATTATGTAAAAAGCAGTGTATGTTGAGTGCAGTTGCAGTACATAAGGTGAGGGAAACGAAAGGTGGAAAATTCTCATTTTTTTCTTCTGAATGCAGTAACGAAATAAAATATTTGCTTTCATGGTTGAAGGAAACAATATTTTATGAGATGAAAGATTAGAAGAAATTTGATGGAATTTTAAATTTTATGGAGTTTAAAAATGTTTCTATAAAGGAACTGTCAGTCTTTTCTCCTCCAAAACCAAGCTCGTGTGATACTCATATCTCACTGCGCTCCTGCGGCCAGTCGATGAAACGTTTATACTGAAGATATATGGACCGTGGGGGATCTATTGAACTGCCATCTATTGTCGGCTCTTTCAACCATATTAGCGCGTAACGGGTTGATGGCAAAACGCTGTGAAGTGGCGAACCGAACCGTTAGATGTGTCTCTCTTATCCCGGCTCAAACGCATGTAATCTAATTTGTTGTATGCTGCATTTGAAGTACTCTCTGTCATCCGCTTTGTTTTTCCACCCATCGGCTTGGGTGTTCAACGGGATGAACTGTTGCCACTGCAGCGCCTCGTCGGGAGATCAGTCGGGAACTCGGTGTTTGTCCCGGCTGCGGCAGTACCTTGCTGGTGGGAGGTAACTGGTTGAGGAAAATCCCGCAAGTCGTCATGAAGGTCAGCGCCAGATCTCACCATCCAGCGGAGGAAGATCACCCATGATTAAACCACTTTTAATTCATTTTCATCACTTTTAATTCATCCTTATTTTGCGTATCGAAGCTCATGCCATCAGGTCAGCTCTTCCGCGTGACCACACAAATTTCACTACGCTCCTTTCGCCCCCTGACCGCGAAAGAAGGTATCACTCAGGCGACGAATCAGGAAATTAGAATTTAGTTCAGAGGCTTATTTCAGTCTTTGCGATCTTTTATTTGTAGTAAATCTACAACATGGGACAGTCGGCTGTACTTCGACCTCCGAAGAAAGTCGTACGAGGGATTTTTGCGCCCTTTAAACTCCGCGACTTTAATCGAATTTGAACCGGCAAACGTGGATCCGATACGCTAACCGTTACACAATTGAAGCCGCAACCACACCATCGGGACCGAATTCACACATTACGGACCCATCGACGCACTACCTAAACAATAGCCATAGCACATGACTTCTAGGCTGTCCAGGTGACGCCGCGTCGTTGGCAAGAGAGTCGGTTTCGCCTCCATATCGCAGGTTCTTCAGGGTAGTGACACAGTGAAGCTCCGCTCCGGAAGCTACGTGTACAAATAGCCATACGAGTTACGGGACACCACCGACGCACAGTTACCTAAACAATAGCCATACCATGACTTCTAGGCTGTCCGGGTGACGCCGCGTCGTTGGCAGAGAGCGGTGTTTCGCCTACCATATCGCAGGTTCTTCAGGTAGTGACACAGTGAAGCTCCGCTCCGGAAGCCTACGTGTAACAAATAGCCATACGAGTTGACACGCTCGGAAACACCGGTCTATCAATCAATCAGTGTTAAGAAACGAGCAACAGATAGCAGCAGCCGCCCGAGTGCAACGTGGCGCACGCGGAGCGCCGGGCGACCGCAGAGGCGCCGGCACCGCGTCAGAGCTGCGCCGGCGGGCGGCGGGCGGGCAGCGATCGCGCGGCGAGGGGGGCGGAGCGGGCGGGGCGGGGCGGGGCGGACGGGTGCGGAGCGCGCGAAGAGGCGCATTGCGGCACGCAGCCTCCCCGCCAGCGGCGCCCCTCCCCTCCGCCCCCGCCACGGACGCGCGCGCGCGGGCGAACGGACGGACGGCGGACGGGCGCGGACCCGAGGGCTCTGCTCGAGGAGCGGTGGGGAACGACAGCGACAACGGACTCGAAGGCGACGCTTGCAGGGTGAATCACCGGGGTTGAGGAGAGCGGGGGGGAGGCACGTCGCGGGAGACGGACAGGGGCCGGTCATCGTGTAGGTGTGTTGAATTTGTGATCCCGCGTTTGTAATGGACCATAAACCTTAGAATCAAAATTTATATTTATAACTTTTAATTATTTCACCCCACACTTGGCCAAGTCAGATCTTTTCGTGTTTGTAAACTCGTCGTGAAATAAAACAGATAACCAATTTGGCACGTTGGTCGCCAAGTTTACAATGGCATAACGTACTTGACGAAATCATGAAAATGGCAAATTACGTGGGACATGTACAGATCTATCTTCGTATTGACTAAAATCTTGTTTTATTTAACAAACCTGAGAGTTATTATCTATCGCTTTCATGCTAATTTTTAAACACATATCTGAAAGTCTTCTCTGTTTCCTCAGTTATGTTTCTTACTGCTACAAACTTATATTTTTAGTGTGGAGACGCGAACTCGCCGCTCTACAGGAAAAACGAATAATTTTATATTTATTTGGGAAACTTGGCTCTTCCGCATTCTTTCCCCTACCATTGGGTTTTCTGCTACGTCTAAAAAAAAATTAACAGGTTTTCAATGATGTTGGCGACTGTACTATTAGTAATTATTTATTTGTCATAATTTTGCCCAAAATGATACTCGGTTCTCCTCCGTACAGCATTCTACTACAAAAAGCAAACGTAATCAAGAATATATTTACCCCCTTTTAACATAAAAACAACGTGCTGTGACAAAAATATCCAAATATCATTCACTTATTCATACATATTTTATTTCCATCTCATTCATACGAGTGCACTCCTTTTAAGTACTGTAACCTTGTCAAAACCACCTCATTCTGTTCCCCAATATTTTCAGAAAAGTTATAGCCTGGTGTTCACGAGCGATATGATGCAAAGGGACGTGTTCTCTTTACCTTTAGGTAGGGAAAAGCTGCATTTGAATTTTATCATTCGAGAATAGATTTAACAAAAATGCAAAAAGGGTAAATTTTAGTATATAGTGAAGTGAGGTGATTTTGATAGCAAACGCCTTCTATAGGAAATCAAAGGTAATCTTGGTTAAAACTGTTTTCTTTTTATTTCGATGTGAAAATACTTCCTTCCAAGAAGGTTCCTTCCAACGTGAAATATCTCTTTCATTGAGAAACTTTTGTGAATATCTTGCTTAGGTGTGGCTGCTTTTACTGCAGTCGGGTCGGGTCGGGTCCCTGGGCGGGTTCGCGGGGGCGTGCTGCGGGTCTCGTTGTGAGGGCGGGGCGGGCCGAGGGGGCGGGGCGGGGGCGGTTCGCGGAAGTCGCGGGGGCGAGCGGTCCGCTCAGGGGGCGGCGTGGGCGAGCTCGTCCGCCGCCGCCCGCTGCGGCGCGCACTTCCCCAAAATGTCGGCCGCTCGATAGAACTGCGAATGGTCCATAAACGCCCCCACGCACGCGCCCGCTCCCTGTCCCTCTCCCTCCCCGCTGCCCGGCCACTGCAGCCCGGCCCCGCAACTTCCACCTCTTGCCGTTGCCGACTTCGTATGTTATTCCGTTACCGCCATCTCCGCCGTTGCCCTTGCCTTCGGTTAAGAGGCAGATCCAAGATGGGGATATGCTGCCTTCCCAAACCAACATGTTTTGTGATTTCGCTCTATTTATTCAAAATAATTTCCTTATCTATATTGTCAGCGAGTTAAAGTGGACTCAAAACATTCCATTCACTGACAAGTAGTTAATTCCTAATATACCATCTCGTGACCATGGTTTCCAAGATTTAACAAATTGCAGATCTAATCTGCTATGATCTTATTATCTCTCAATAATTTTGATTTTTATAAATTTGAGTAGTTGTGTTTTTTTTAATTGATCGTTGCCAGTTTTTTGGGATCAAAGGTTTATCGGTTAAAGGAACGTTATAACGAAGTAAACATCTTAAGACATATTAAAACTATAAGCAAATGGCTAAATTTTAAACAAGGTCGTTACGTGCCACTCATTCAACATTTACACATATATTTGAGTTCGCCATAAATAACTGGAAGATTGATACTATTTGCGTAACCTATTACGTAGTAACTTGCGCGTCAAATGTAATCTTTCCGAACGTCATACAAATTCTTTAATCTGCAAAAGAAGCTATCATTCACATAGCAACGCTTAGAAACACCCAAAAAAGTATATACTGATACCAAAAATATATTCTTATTGGTAAAAATATTACTACAGAACAAAATCTATTAATTTTAAACATTTTGGTCCGTGCTCTTGCAGCACAGTGTCCGAAGACACATTAATAATGAGATGAAATCAACTACTGAATATAAATTTTCTTATGTAATGAAGAGTTACAGAAAATATTGGAAATTACTATTTGAAACAATATATATTCATAAGAATATTCACATATCATATAAAAATCATGAACATATTCATGAAATGCAAGTAATTGCCGCACGTAAAACCAACGCGCCTAATTTCCATTCACTTTCCGAAATAAATGGGCGTTTGCTTTATTACTTATTGGACTAATGCATTTGGCTACACTGAAAAAATTACTTCAAGAAAAACGTAATTGTTTAGTTTAATTCAGTTCGACAGTTAAAAAATTATTGTTGTGAAAATATGGCATTGTGTGTAATTAAACATCATATTGATATTGTTAAGTGATACGTAGAACAAACTCCATAAAAGATATTAAAGAAAAGTGTGTGACGACATTCCCTGGTAAGAACGATCTCACAACTATCACTCAAGACTACACAAGACATGGAGAACTACAGGATCCGTACGAAATGTAGTGAAGAATAATTCGAAGTGAAGACCTCGGTGGTAGTGACTAGAATTTGCAATGGCGTATTGAGAAGCCCGATAAAATCGATAAGAAGATCATCGCTTTAGTGTATCCCTCGTTTATCCTTAGTACATGAATTGACAAGTTCAGATAAAGATAAACGAGAGACTTATTGCAACTGGCTGTTATATTCCATTGTGGATCGTTACATCGATCCCATCTATTCATGACAAATGAAGCTTGGTTTCATATCTTGTATCTTTATGTGGTAAATAACTTCCTCTAACACGCTCTTCAGTCAGAATCCAGGTTTTTTGGGTTCTTAATACCAAACAATTGGTTTACGGGAAAATGTCCGTATGTGAAAAACGCTGGCAAAAAAACCGTAAGCAGAATTTTCACCAAAATTGATATTCCCCGATCAAACTGATCCCATTAATTTCGAAACAGATATTGTCATTTTTAGTTGATATACATGAAGCCTCAACATTTTCAAACTTTTCTCAAAAATGGTTTCAAAGTTTATGTTTCAATATTTTCATTAGATACAAGAAAAGAATCCAAAAGAAGTGGCGCAAGGTCACATTTTTGTTGAGCTCTCTAAAAATTCGAAAATTGCGAAAGTTAAAACATTTTTTTTGCCTCTTTCTACAATATTGAACTACAATAATGAAGATAGTAATTTTTCCTTAATGAAATCTGTTCATCAAAAACATATATTAAATAAAGACAACATATTTCGGAAATATGAGTGGTTTTCGCGTAATTTTGCATGAAATATATAGACAAGACTTAAACACTTATTTCTCAAAAACGTCTTCAAACTTGTTCTTTCATTTTTTGTGGAATGCAGCAAATAACGGTCATAAAAATGGTGCCTATCCCATTTTCGGTATTTTCGAAAATTGCATTTCATTAACATTACAACAAATGTAACATTGATGATAGAGATTTTTCCTTAAACGAAATCGGTTCTACAAGAATCAGTTCTTTAAAAAAGGTTATGTAGTACATTTTTTCTTTTAATTCTTATTCTTTGAGATTGATAATTCCCATTTCCCGCGCTTCGTTTGACGAGCTGTCATACAATGGCAATGCTGCGGCACGGCAGAATTAAAGAATGTTCTGTTGTAGCGCCACCTGTTTATGAACGTACGATAAACAGCGAAAGATATCTGCAAATATTTGAAAAGCATTGACAGACAACGAAAAGTGTATGGCGTCTAAAAAAAGATGGCGCCATGGCTCACACATCCAACCAGAGTAACGTCCCTATAAGTGAGTGTTACCTGAAAAAAGACTTGTCAGCAAAAACCTTTGGTCTGCTAGATCGCCAGACTTATCTAGCGATGTTTATATGTGGAAAGGTCTGAAAGGCACTGCGTACGCTACTATCCGTCGTACGATTGACCAACTAAGAGAGGACTGAAAAAACGAGATAAATAGCACATCTTCTCAAGAATTGCGTCGTGTTTCTCGTAATGTTATTTTACGAGTGCAGCAATGTTTCAATGCTAGTGGATGGCACTTCCAACATTTGTTGTAAATAGACGTAAATAGGTAATAATTCAGTGTCACATGCTTTGAGAATCTGATAAATTTGTGATATTGATATATGAAGTAATATATCAACAAGAAAGTAGTTATTTCCTGTTCTGTGAAAGCCAGACAATGCGTCGTGCCGGATTTAAGAGGGGCACCTGTACATTTTCATACTGTCAATCATCACGAGTAAATGACAAAAGGATGTCAATATTTCGCATGCTTAAATTGTGTGATAAACTGAATGAATATAAATCAGATAAGGACTATTAAACGAGCATGTAATTTAATTCGAGACAAATATGTTTTCATTGGCAGTCAATCAATTTAAAGCAAACGGATTGCGCCCGTTAGAATACAATGCACATAGGTAATTAAGTTGGAAAAAATTAGAAACAATGAAGGTAGTTGCTGTGTTCGTTGGGACCTTGAACGACGATCGAGGAATATGAAACCTAATTAAGAAAATGTTTACGACGATTGACAGATGTTTTGTTTTTGAGTTTGAATCAGACGGATGATGACCACGTCTAAGTAGCGATGAATGTGTCAAATGGATGCTGTCTAGAGACTTGTAGGATAAAAATGTTGGGTGAGACGGAAGTAAGGTGAAATATAACACTGCGGTCAAGGCTAAGGATATCATTATGCCTTTGAAATACAAATAATGAAGCAAATAATTAATAAGTTATAGAATGCAAATATTTGTCGTGTGCTGAATGAGAAACTACACGAGTTGCTTGAGTATCGGTAAGCTGAGGAGGCAATCGTCGGGTTAGCCTGCAGGATGCAAGGAATATACCAATTGAAAATGTTGAAATTAAAGTATTGTTACAATCTCATCGAAACTCGCATCATCGAAACTCGCCTCAACGAAACTCGCCTCATCGAAATGCGCCTCATCGCCACCCGCCAATTCTTATTCTTTGCGCCACTCCGGTCCTCAAGAGGCTAGATTGCCCTCATTTCGTCGCCTGTATAGTTTCCTTAAATCTATCCTGCGTGAAAGGTTCTGAAGGTGCTCTGAGATTTCTAGAGGGCGGGGCTTTACCGTAATTCGTAATACCTGTGGGAAGTGAGCAAATGGAATTAGAAAGTGGGAAGAGCTGCTCACTGCGGGCAGGAGCTAGCTGGGAAGGAGGCTAGCTGCCTGGTGAACCTAAAAGCTGTTGTGTATCGAATATACATCCCTCATCAATGTGCCTCACGGTGTGCTTGATTTTGATTCACTAAAATCTCGGCCAATTCAGGAATAACTCTTTAGTCGAGGTAATTTATATTGAATTGAAAGGAATGCTGGCAAGTGTGCTATGATATAACCATAGATTCTCTTGTCGCTTCCAACACCACCACCATATCATCTGCTACATTCTCCCTCTCCTTCACTCCGAGTACCACCTTCACTCTGCAGTGCCATCGCGCTACCTCATCCTCAGTCTCCGCTATCGCCTCCGTTCCGGCCTCCGCGCGGTTCGCGTCCTACCGCCTCCCCCCCCCCCCCCGCTCACAAGGCGCTTGGCGCGCTGCCGCGGACGCGAGGCGGATCGCGAAATAAGCAGCGCGCGGTCAACATGTTTGTCAGAAGGCGCTGCGCCGCGCGCTCGGCCCTTGGGACGCCGACCTGGAGGTGCAGCTGTGCTACCGATCGCTTCACGTGAAGGCTTTGGGACGTTTGGACCTGTGTGATGTGTGGTCTTCCGAAATACACTCCGCATTAAACATTACGACGCTGTTTGTGTTTTTTTTTGTTTGTTTGTTTGTTTTTTAATTTTTTAAGGTCATTGTGCGGCAATATGCTCTCTGCAATTGAGCTAACGTATTTTTCGCGATTTCCAGACTACCTCATTTATACTTGTGAAGCGCGATGGCGTTTATCGTTTAGAAGTCACGACATACGCTAGATATCTTAATCCGCTACGTTTTGAAACAGTGAACGATATAGGCCGTGGAAATGTTTAAAAGTCCAGCCGTTCCGCGAACTTTCATATATTGTAACACGCATCAACATCTAGGTAATTAGCGACAACTATTGAATTCAGCGTTATGGTAACTGTGAAGATGACATGATATGGTGGTGATAGGGGAT